TGATGGGGATTTTCTTTCTATTGGCTTAAAAGTAATTCATTAAGAAAAACCTATGGGTTTCTGTTTGGGGGCATTTAAATGTGTTACTCCATTATTTTATTTAAACAGATAGATTTTGGTGAGGAAGGGGCTAAATGAGTAGAATCATGACTTCTACTTATAAAAGCATCTACTTAAAAAACAAATATGTATATATATCTATATCTATATCTCTATATATTATTTATTTATTTATTTATTTATTTATTTATTTATCTAGCCATATAGGTCCATACATTTGTTTTGTATTTCTACATAGATATAAAAAGTTTTACAAAGTCAGGAAATACTGGCCTTTGTAAAATGCTAAGTTGGTCAGGTCCTCCTTGAAAGGCTCTCCCTGTGTAAGTTATAACCTGGCCCTAAGCTACATTCCCAGTATATTCCCTGTGTCTCCCCAGTTATACCCTGCAATCTGGAGACACCAGGCTGGGTGAGCTTCCTAGATCCACCATATTTCACACTTGTTCTCCACCCACTCGTGTGTCTGTGCTGCCTGCTTTGTCTAGATCAGTGGTTGACAAACTTACTAGTCAACATAGCCAAATATTAATATAATAGTATAACATTTGAAATTTCTTTTGAGAGCCAAATTTTTTAAACTTAAACTTCTTCTAATGTCACTTCTTCAAAATAGACTTGTCCAGGCCATGGTATTTTGTGGAAGAGCCACACTCAAGGGGCCAAAGAGCTGCATGTGGCTCTCGAGCTGCAGTTTGCCGACCATGGGTCTAGATGGCCAGCAAGGGGAAATGCTGTTCTGGCTGCTTTTCTCACAGGACTTATTCTGTTGGCCTCCGAGACTCAGCGGCTTCTTATCTGGCTGTCTGAATGCTGTCACAGCTGTGGTCTGTGGGCGATTATCTCCGGTGCTGCGACTGCCTGTGTTCTCCTTGGACCTCTTCTTATCAACAGTGAGCACCCGAAGGATGGAGTGGATTCATCATCAGTTGCCACTCAGCAGCAACTCCACCACTCTGCCAGATTATTCCCCCAGAGATTGCTTGATTATTTGCTGTTTTCTTTAGAAAATAGAACCAGACTCCAAATGTAGAGTGGAGATGAATTATTTGTCCACAACTCTCCAACCGTAGCCTGTCTTAGTGTTTATTTTTGCCTTCTCAGTATTTTTCCTCTGCATTTTGCTTAGTAATAAGCATAGTATGTATCTTTGCTGCCACCTGATCTTCAAAGTCCTCATCTTTAATGATTGCTTAACAGTTCACCTAGTGGATATAGTATAATGTACTTTCCCTTTGAATATGTAGGTTCCTGTCTTTAAGTTTTAATATGTGTGACGATCATAATGATAGAATGGATATATTTATAAGCCAAGAATGCCAGAATCAAAATATCACACGAGCAGGGCACTCAGTGAGCAGGGTGCACAGACATGTCCTGTAGTCAGGCTCACAGTCCGATCCCGGACAGGGTGCAGAGCCTGTGGCCACAGACAGGAGCGCTGGCTGTGTCTACACATGTTCTTTTTCCCCCCCAAGTTTTGACCCATCATGCCTGAGGAGAGAAGAGGGGTGGGCAGAGGAAGGATCTGAGCATTGGGATTCTGAGAGCCTTGTTACCAGCTGAACTCTGTGTCCTCTGGGCAACATTGGGCCTCAACTGCTCTGAACACTTCATCTGTACAGAGGATGTCTGTGGCATGTGATTCTTATAAGAATCAAAAGAAACCCAACAAGGGGGGAAATAGATTTGTGGGGTTTTTACTGTGGGATTGGCACTGAAATCTTGTGCTGTATCATCAAATCCTATAAGAGGTACTGGAAGAGATTAACTTGCTCCAAGTCACACTGCTAAGTGCTGAGATCCAAATCCAGTTTGGAGTTCTGTCCTCCCAGGTCATTTGTCCTGAGGCTTCCTAGGGAGACATCTTCCCACCAGATACCTCTGTGCTCTGAAGTAACACACAAGGGCCAATCCCAGCGTCTCTGTACCGAGGCAAGTTCTGGGGGAAAAAAGCACTTAGAAAAAGATGAACATATTGAGATATTTAGACTATTTTTTTTATTATTGACCAAACTCATTAAACCTCTGATAAAGAAATAGTGAATATAGTTGTTAAAACCTGACTTCAAGATTTGATCTTGGCATGAGACAGGCCATAATAGGTGATTCCATAAATGGAGAGTTGACTAAGACCCTATGAGAGGATGCACAGATGGGGTGGATATCACTAAAAGTAGACTTTGTAAGGAATCGGGTGTGATTATATCCCAGGGCTGTGGCATTCCCAATGAGATGTGAATGTTATGGAGCTGGAAGGGAAGAGAAAGAGGCCAGTGGTTCTTCTTACAACATGAGGATGAGGGGTAACCCAGGGTTGAGGGTGTGCTGGGCAATGTTTGCAGCCTTTTAGACAAATAGGAAAGGGAGCTATCTTATTACAGATGCAGAATTAACCAGGTTTATTTATTTATTTATTGGCATTCTCTTTCTAAAACACATATCAGAATGAGTGAGTATTGTGTAGGGTTAGGGGCCTTTGTGTCGGAATTGGTCTTTCTGGGTTTGAAGCCCTAGCCCATGTGACCTCAGATAAAGTTACTTAAGTTACCTAAGCTTCATTTTTATTTATTTATAAAATGGGGAGAATGATGGTAGCACTCATAGCATTAATACAATAAAAGGCAAATATGCAAATTGTCCCCTTGGGAGTTCCACCGACTCGGAGTGCAACTGCTCGCTGTGACATGCGCTGACCACCAGGGGGCGGCATAGAACTAAGGAAGGTCCTGATGGCCGGCCAGGCCTACGGACCTTGCCCGTGCACGAATTTCATGCACCAGGCTTCTAGTAAATGAAATAATACTCACAAACAGAGTAAGTATTAGATCTTCCACTACCTACTGGGTAATGGCCCAGACTCTTGTAGTCCTCTATGATCTGATCCAATCCACTCCATATGCCAGAGGTCCAAATGTCTTCCAGAGCCTGGTAGGCAAAATACAAGCTAGGTGAGGCTATGGCACACTGGGGGCCGTGAGCTCCATCTAAGGAGCACCTGCGCCTCACTCTGGTAGCCATTAGCTTTGTGGGAGAGGGAGCCCAGTGTGATGCCCTTTGAAGGGATCCTGGAACCTGGAATTTACCTGAAACCTCCCGGTTATTACATGTGGACAATTACATCAGAATCCTTAACACTGTAAAACCGAGCAGCGCCCGCTTGCAGGCTGATCTGGTTGTCAGCTTGCACTCCCTGCTTCAGGCTCTTCCCCAGCCTTGCTGTCTGCTTACTTGTCCTTGGACAGACTTGACTCCCTTGTGCCATAATGCTTTCAGATGTGCCAGCCACTCTGCCTGGATCGGCCTTGGTACTTTCTCTTTTGAACTGGTTCATTCTTTCAGACTTGGCTCAGCCTAACTATTTTCTCTGAACTCACCATTCCCTCCTTTGTGATGCTGTAGCTCTTACAGATCACTCTGTTCTAGTACTTACATCTGTATGCAATGTCTATTCATCCGCTTGTTTATTTAGAAAAAAAAATTATTAAGCACCAAAATGTGTCCCAGCTACAGCTGTAAACTAGAAACCTGCTTCCCTGGTGCTTGTTTCTGGAGTGATGGTCAGGTGTCCGTCCTCCCACAAGAGGGTGAGTGAGTTCCTTGAGGGCAGGGACCCTGTGGTGGTTGTGTGGTGTCCTTAGCAATTAGCCCAGTGCATCTAATACCCAGTGTATTAGTGTCTTCCTGCTACTGCAACAAATTTTCACAAACCTAGCATCTTATAGAGATACAAACACATTATCTTCCAGGTTTGGAAGTTTGGAGCCTGAAATGGTCTCACTGGACTAAGATCACGGGGCCGGCAGGGCTGCATTCCTCTGGAGGCTCTAGGGGAGAAAGAACATGTTCCTTTGCCTTTCCCCGATCCCAGTGGCCGCCTGCATTTCTTGGATGTGGCCGCATCCTCCTCCATCTTCAAAGCAAGAAGTGTAGCACCTTCAAATCTGTCTTCATTATTATTATTTTTTTGTCTTCCTCTTCTTGTAATTTCTTGGGCCCACCTGGATATTCCAGGATACTCTCCCAATCTCAAGGTCATCTGATTAGCAACTGTAATTCTATCTGTAACATTCATCCTCCCTTGCCATGTCACGTAACATATTCAAAGTTATGGGGATTAGAACGTGGGCATTTTGGGGGAGACTATTCTGCCTACCACAGCTGGGAAGATGAATGAATGAATGAAGGATGAATGAATGAAACTCTCATGGGTGGGAACGAGTGTTATGCTAGCCACAGGAAGGCAGAAAGAGTAGTAAAAGACTCAGACTTGAAGGAGTTGGTGATCAACGGAATTGCGACGTGTGGTGCCGGCTGTGATTGGGAGTTTTCCAAACCTCCCTTCTCAGATAAACTGAGATTTATAAGCTGACTCTTATAAGCTTTCTCTGACATCCGGGAGTAATCAGACTCCTTGTTTTTTTTGCTCTTAAGATACCCTTCCTCCAAATACTTTATACTTGTGATGCTAGTTCAGTCAATGCCTTTCACTGGATTTCACATGTAACGAGCGAGGTAAGACACATCTGTCTTCTTTCTCAGTGGAGATAGCATTGAACAGAGTGCCTGGCATATGGTCGGTGTTGGAAAGTTTCTGGAGAGGATAAATGAATGAGTAAATGAAGAAGTGGAGGAAAATGAAGTGTTTAAACCACCTGCTTCTTGCTCTGCATGAGAGCTTTGTTATCTGGGACCGTAAACTTCCTGTCGTGGCACACAAAGTCGGGAGGGAAAGCATAGGTACTTTTTCCCCAGAGCGGGGCAAAGACACAGATTCTCAACAGAGTCCGGGACCAAACCTGGGAAAGAAGCCCTGCTCTAAGCGTGCGGCGCTCAGAGACGAGGGAACCAGGCCACGTACAGACAGGGAGGACACTGACTGGGCAAGACACAGGCTTCTCCACTAGCTAACTGGGCTTTGCATCTTTTTCCATCTCTAGATGAGGAAAGCGTGCTGCCTCTCCTGGCACAGGACTGTAACTCCAAGGCTCGGAGGGGCATTTTAAGAAGAGCCGTCTTTTCTGAGGACCAGAGAAAGGCTCTGGAGAAAATGTTTCAGAAGCAGAAATATATCAGCAAAATAGACCGGAAGAAACTCGCCATCAACCTGGGACTGAAGGAATCACAGGTACTGAGGAGCAGGAAGATGGCCTCTGCTCCTGATTTCTGAATGAATACGATGGGAGCCATCCGTTTGGCAAATACTTGTTGTACCAGGCAGGACCCTGAGTATTACTGAAATGACTTTAAGTTTTTCAGTGGGTGGAAATGTAGGTCACAGTTCCTATTTGGAAATGGGTTCATTTGTTGAGAGTTCTAGGTTATTGCCTCATTAATTCTTCCCAAATAAGTGTAAATGCTATGGATTTACATCATTAAATCATTTGCTCTGCTTTTAGAAAAGTAGACTGCTTAATTCCCTACAAGAACAGGAACCAAGTTTCCTGTCTTTTTCTTAATTTTTAACCTAAAACCAAGGTATGAATGAGTGACTCATAAATCACTCAATAGATTTCATTATTTTGTACTTTGGGTTTATGTCAAGTATAGTTAAGCAATTTCAAATTCGCAACACTTGCAAATGGTTCTTGTACATCAATGTTTCGTATAATTTTGGATGAGACTTGGTGGCCTTTTGGGAGACACAGAAGACTCCATTTAAAGATTGGCCTGCTAATTATAAATACAACACTAACATTTACCATTTTGTCCTTATCTCCATATGAAATTAAGCACTATAATCATCCACATTTGATAGGTGAGGAAATGTGGAGAAGTAAACAAAGCCAATGCCCCGCCACAGGCCACCAGACTCTGGAGTTTGCATTTTCCTTAACCTAGAGCCACTGCATGCAGCTGTGAAGGATATTCACTGCACAGGGCACTTGGCTAAGGGGGATGGCAGCGACTGGTACTCTGCTGGCTTTGCTGATGCAGGGCCACATCCACCTGAATTTTTTAAACCAGCTTAAAGGCATTGAAGAGCTAGCAGAGGTTCTACCCCGTTCTCCCTCTGATACAAATGACCTGGTTGCTAACTTTGGCTTTTAGTTCAGCCAGTTATCTTTGGATGAAACTCCCCACAGCTCTGCTTGCTTTCCTTAGGGAAGCGATCTGTTTGTTTCCCCCTCCCCACCCCAATTCCTTCTAGTCCTAGGAAGCAGTATGTGGTGTGGGAGAGGGTCATTGGCTTACAGCAGCCAGTCTGTGTTTGCTCATTGTGTGGGACTGATGAGTTCATTAACCTTAACTAACTGCTCTGTACCTCAGGCTCTAACTTAAAAAACAGGGGGCAATGCAGAAATTCTATGTCACAGGAATTTTGGGTACATGACAGATAAATCAGTAGCTATGTCTTGATGGTCTACTGTGTGCAGGACATTGTGCTAGGTAAGCAGTAAGAGGGAATATCCATAAGTACTGAGTTAGATACACCACTCCCACCCTCCCCGCCCCCAAACAGGATTTCATACAACCAACTGGGGAAACAAAGCAGAAGCTCATTAACAGTGTAAGATGATAGGGTGGGAGACATCATCTGGTAGGTTAGATATACCGCCAAATAAAGGAGCGCAATCAGTGGTCCTCCGATCAGTGGTCCTCTGGGTTGTAAATCTAGAGCCTCAGGGTAATTCCCATCTTTGGAAAGGACAACTGGTCTGCATCCATGTGGGGAGTTAGTGATGGAACTGTCTGATCCTCAGAGGAATTGTGGGGTCTGAGTGAGGAACACAGAGGGCTGAGTAGGCTGGCCTGCATCCCATTAATATAGATAAGAAGCTCCAGAATCAGAGGAGAGAAAATGTGCAGGTTTTAGAGTTCAGGGACGTCTGGTTAAATTGGAACTTGAAGTAGTATTAAAAGTAGCTAGGTTTGCCCTAGCTGGTTTGGCTCAGTGGATAGAGCGTCAGCCTGCAGACTGAAGGGTCCCAGGTTGGATTCCAGTCAAGGGCACATGCCAGGGATGTGGGCTCAATCCCCAGTAGAGGGCATGCAGGAGGCAGTCAGTCAATGATTCTCTCTCATCATTGATGTTTCTATGTATCTCTCCCTTCCTCTTGGAAATTAATAATGATATATTTTTTTAAAGTGCTAGGTTTTATCTGATGGTGCTCTGAGAAGGGGAGAAAATCTCTGACAATACATATGGTCTTTTAAAAAATTGACTTGGAAAAAAGAATGCAGAAGCATAGCAAAGAATATTTATGAGGGATGAGCATGGTGTCTCCAAGAAAACAAACTGTTATCTTCCAGTTCCCATCCATAAGCACAGAGTTTTACACAATTGATTACATTGTTTTTAAAATTCAAGTGCCTCAGGGATGAATGCTTTTTATTTTACTGAATTTGGTGAACATCTCAGAAGTAATTTAACATTTTGTTATTTGCATATACATCTAATTACACATTTAATACATGGCATTTCTTATGGTAAATTCAAACAAAAGAGAAATTGGAAAAGTTAGAATGAAAACTCATCTACTCCCCTAACAATCCAACTCCTTGGTTACTACTGTCATTTCTAAATGGCTCTTGTTTGAGTTTATTGACATGTCATATATATATATACATATTTCAGAAAGGAAGGAAGAATGAGAGAGAGAGAAACATCAATGATGAGAGAGAATCATTGATCGGCTGCCACTTCCATGCCACCCACTGAGGGTTGAGCCCACAACCCAGGTATGTGGCCTTGACCAGAATCAAACCTGAGACCCTTCTGTCTGCAGGCTGATGCTCTATCCACTGAGCCAAACCAGCTAGGGTGTGACATGTCATGTGTTTTTTTAAAAAGAAATTTGTATGTGTGTTGTGTATGCACTAACATTGCGTAATGACTACCATGTGCTCTTACATTTGATGTTGTTATCCTGCCAATGACTTTTATTATTGCTATTTTACAAAGTAATGAGCTGACACCTAGAATGGTGTATCTATATTTTCAAATAAAAATGGGATGATACTATGCATATAATTTGACTTTTTCTGAAGGACAGTACAAACCACCTACTATATAACCAGCACACACATCTCACAGTAGAACATTACCGGGGCCACTAGCCTCTGGCCTATCCCCTCCCAGTCACTACCAGTTCCTCCCACCAGCCTAACATCTAACTGCACAGATCAAATTTGTCTGTAAATAGAATCATTCAGCACATAGACTTTGGTACACGGCTGCTTTCGTGTAACATGTTTGTGAGACCCATTCATGTTGTGGCATGTAGCAGTAGCTCATTAGTTTTCATTGCTGTGCATCCTCACATGACATACCAGTTCATTCATTCTAATGGTGGGCACTTGGATAGCTTGAAATTTCTGGCTATTGTAAAAGTGCTGCTGACAATGCCTGTAGTTTTGCACTTTGCTTTTTCTTCCCATTCAATGTCATGGATGCATCCTTCCAATGTCATACGTACAGATTTACTTCATTATTTTTTAGTATCTCATATTAACATTTGCATAGATATGCCATAATTCAGTTAGTCATTCTCAACTTTTGTTTTATTTTATTTATCTTTATTGTTGAAAGTACTACAGACATCTCCTCTCCCCCACCTCCATTAGCCATTCTCAACTTTAAGTTGCTTCCAAGTTTCACTATTGCATATCTTCATGGGCTTTTAAAATATTTTTGTAAGATAGGGAACTAAGATTGGAATTTATATGTTAAAGTGTATGTACATTTTAAATTGTGATAGATTAAAAAAATCCTTTCCAAATATATTATTGTATCAAAATACTGAATTTTATCATATTTGCACTCTTGATAACAGTTTCTTTTTGCAAACCTTCCGCTATTTATAATTTTTAAAACATTGCAAACTTCATTGGGAATGACTTTTTAAAAATTTTCCTAATTATCTGAACTTGAGGGTCTTTTAATCATTTTATTGGCTATTTTAAATCTTTGAATTGGCCTATTCATGGCCAAAACATTTTTTTCTATCATATTTACTTTTAATTGATATGCAGCAATTATTCTGGCTGTTAATTAAAATTTTGGAATATTATGGTTAGTAACATTTTTCTGTTATAGCTGTTGCAAAAATCCCTCCAACTTTGTATTGTTGTTTTTTGTGATTAAAATATACATAACATAAAGTTTACCACTTAAACTTTTTTAAATGTACAATTCAGTGGCATTAAGAACATTCACACTGTTGTGCAACCATCACTTACATTCACCTCTAGAACTTTTTTCATCTTGCAAAACTGAAACTCTGTACCCATTAAACAATGCTTCCCCATTCCTCCCTCCCCCACATCTCTGACAACCACCATTTTACTTGCTGTCTCTATGAATTTGATTACGCTAGGTAAGTTGTATGAGTGGTATCATACTATATTTGTCCTTTTGTGACTGGCTTATTTCATGTAGCATAATGTCTTCAAGGTCCATTCATATTGTAATATATTTCAGAATTTTCTTATTTTTTGTACATACAGTAATATTTTATTGTATGTATATATTACATTTTATTAATCCATTCATCAATGGATACCTGGATTTCTTCCATATATATATTTTTTTGCTTTTGCGAATAATGCTGCTAAGAATGTAAGTATATAAATATCTCTTTGAGTCCATGTTTGTTTGTTTTTAATTATAGGTGGCATATAATTTAGTTTCAGGTGTATAACATAGTGATTTGACACATATATTTTACTATGTGTTCACCGCAATAAGTCTAGTAACCATTTGCTACCTTGCAAAGTTAATATAATATTATTGATTATATTCCCTGTGCTGTACACTCAAATGGCTTATTTACTTTATACTTAGAAGTTTATACCTCTTATTCCCCTTCACCATAATCTGCAGTTGTGATTTTTTCCCCTCAGGCACAATTGACTACCCTAAAAGTAAAGAGGGAGGTTAATAGAAAAAGGAGTCTCCCATAGGGTGGTGGGAAGGTATGGCTCAAATTAGAAACCACAATCATAAGTACTTTTGAGTTAATTACAATCAATTGTTATCTATGGAGCCTAATTATTCCAGTTTGATAAATTCTGGGAGTAATCAAACTTAGAAACTGTATAAAGCCTGAAATTAATCAATATATTGTAAAATGTATTCTTAATTTAGTCTACAAAAGTTCCTGATAAGATCTAAATGCTTATGAATCTGGGCATTAGAACAGGACAGTCTTGTATTCTAGTCAAAGCACCATGTGACCTGGAACCATTTCTCGCTCCGAGCCTCAGTGTTCTTGCATGCTAATGAGGACTTGAGACATTCTGAGGATCAAATTCTGTAACCCAGGTAGAGTGCATAGACTGACCCCAGTACAAAACAAACACTCAGATGCTATTACCAATAGATAACATTTCCTTTGAATAAATAATTTAGCACAGACTAAATGATTTAAAATATTGAAGAGAGTTAAATCAGTCTTGAAAGATGTGAGACTCATAGGATGTAACCGATTTACCACAGTTGTCTTGCTTCTTAAATATATGTGGGGATATTGTATTAAAGTACTTTCTCAGTTATTTTTAAAAAATATATTTTATTGATTTTTACAGAGAGAAAGGGAGAGAGGGAATGAGAGAGAAACATCGACCAGCTGCCTCCTGCACACCCCCCACTAGGGATGTGCCCACAACCAATGTACATGCCCTTGACCAGAATCAAACCTGGGACCCTCTGGTCCGCAGACCGACGCTCTATCCACTGAGCCAAACTGGCTTCGGCTTCTCAGTTATTTTTGAAGGAGCCCAAGTGAAAAGCCACAAGGTCTTTGCTAGACTGGCTGTCATGATAAGGTAGTCTGTAGAAGGCCCAAAAGGAGAAACGAACAGTGTCAAATGCTGAAGTGAATGAATGTCGAATAAGTGAACATTTTATCCAATTGTCTTATCAACAGGTGAAAATCTGGTTTCAGAACAGAAGGATGAAGTGGCGGAATTCCAAAGAAAAGGAAGTGCTTTCCAACAGGTGTGTCCAGGAAGCAGGCCTTCCGGAGGACCCCCTCTCGCGCTCCGCTCTGGGCTTCCCTTCACCGTGTCCTTCCCTCTGGGACCCCTCCCAACAGCACTCGAGTCCTAGGTGGAGGGAGAATCTGCCAGAACCTCCAGAAAGACTAACTCAGGAGAGTTCGGGGCCACAGCCCCCAGAAGCCAATTCACTGCGAGGTGCCTTATATTTGTGTTCTGAGGAAGAAGCTGGAGACAAGGGTGTACTTGTCTGAATGGAAGTGTTCCTCCACGTTAACTTAAAAGAACACTTAACTCATAATGTTTGGACCCTAAAGCCAACTAGCTTGTGCCTCATCAGTGCCTAAAACCTAACAGCGTCGGAGTGATGCAGGAACTAATGCTTTAGGAAACTTTTCCCCAGTGTTCTGTTATTTGGGTCTTAGACTCAGACTTAATGTGTAAGTGGAATAGAATCTCCCAGAAAGTGTGATGGAAGTGAAAAAAAATGAGAGTGGTAGTTGGCTCAGTCTAAATATGTGTGTGTGTATATATATATATGATGTGTCTCTATGTGTATATGTATATAAATATTCATTAAAATACATTAGTAGAAACACCAGCTTCTCTTTAAATACTGCATTGAGCAAATTCATCTCCTTTTACATGAAGAACAACCAACCATTGGCCAAATGTTATTGATTTTTAAAAAATATTATAAAAGTTGGATTTTAGTCCAAATTTGTATTTCATCAGAACATGTTTTTAAAAATTTTCTATTTTCTGGTTTCATTCAGGAACCAGCTGTAAATGAGTTTTAACAACTCAGCAATCCCAATTAAATGAGCCAGTGTTAGATACATACATTGAAAGTATATGCTTAAAGTTAATCCAACAAGCAAACTAGAAGAATTTCTGGATGTAACTATTAGTATTCTTAATTTCCAAGTCTCTAGATTTTATCAGGCCATCGGTGAGGGAGGTACCCATTTAACCAACGATTATCTTTTGAGCTCTTTTCTGTAAGGATGGGCCTTAATCAGGGTTTGCAAAGTAAAAATGCCTGTAAGGGCCTGTCAGATAAAAAAAAGGGGGCGAAGGGAAGGTGGTGGGCGTGACCCACCTAACGATATTTTTAAAATAGTGTGTTGGCCAAACAAAATATCTGTGCCAAGCTATTTGTGATCTCCAGCTAAGACTTCAAGAAGTGTCACAGTTTTTTAAATGTTCCCATTGGACCTCAGAACACAATACTGAAGGAATCTATAGTGATTTCTCTTTGCACATCTAGGTAGAGACTTGATTTTCCACTTAGGTGGTATACGCTATGTATGTTAGGTTATTTTATGTATTAACAAACACCATACAGATGTTTTATGTTTTGAATACCCTGAAATAGTATTATTATAAAATTGCCTTTCTGGTAATGATTTGCTTAGTTAATCTAGAATTTTTATTCCAGGTCCAAGAAAAAATTATGTTTTCCTTTGAAGGAAATGAGGCAGAGAAAAGGAAATGATATGGCTTGAACTAGGTTATTATTAATCTGCAGACAAGAAATGGTATTAGAAGTTCGTGATGTGGCATCTTGTTAGCGGGAAAGCTACATAAAGAGAGTGGCTTCCAATGTGCTTATGTTCTTAACTGTAGGCTTGGAAGGTTTAGAAAAAGAGCATTTCACCTCTATGCTGAACACCTGAAACTAATATAATGTTGAATGCGGCTGTAATTGAAAAAATAAAACATTATAAGAAAAGAAAAGGTAATATTTCAGAAGATAATAGTTTTAGTCAGCACCAGGAAATTATTTTCTATGAATGGCATTTGAATTGTGTCTTTATCACAAGATCTTTTATTGAAAAGACATCTCAGCAGAAGCTTCTCAGTGCCTCCTTGTAAGAAATAGAGGCAGAAATCTTCTGACAATAAAGCGAAATTTTAAATTAAAATATTCCTTATTTTTAAGTTATTAGTTTCAGGTGTACAACATAGTGATCAGACAGTTATATAACTTATGAAGCAATCACCCTGAAAAATGATTTATAGTGGGGTTTCTTTGCTTTATATGATGTTAACCTCATTTACAGTTAATGGGTCCATTCTATGTGCTATGCCTTTAGGGTGGGTTAACTTATGACAATAACCTTCTGAGTAGGCACTATTGCTATCAGGATTCCTGTTACCCAGACAGGGAGCCTGAGGCAATGTGGTTAGGGTGATTGGCCCATGAATAAGTGAAATTTGGACCCTGGCAGTCAAGTTTCAAATCTTGAAATCTTACCAGCTATGTGGGGGTGCATATGGGATGTATTGTAAGATGTTGTTACACTTTGAGAACTGCAGTGAAATTTATCTGAAAAGTTCAGGACCATATTATATTTTACAATTTCTTATTTGGGGAATGGTTTTCCTTCAGTATTCTCTTCTCTGTTCACTTTAAAGATTAAGGAAAATAAAGAATTGCAAAAGCCTTAGTCATTTTTGCTCAGTGGAGAGAGCATCGGCCCGAGAACTGAAGGGTCCCGGGTTTGATTCAGATCTAGTGTACATATCTTGATTGCAGGTTCCCTGGCCCTTGTCGGGGTGCATGCACAGAAGTCACCCAATCAATGTGCCTCTCTCACACAGATGTTTCTCTCTGCCTCTCCCTCTCCCTTCCACTCTCTCTAAAAATCAATGGGAAAATATCCTTGGGTGAGGATTAACAAAACAAAATAAAAAAAGAATTGCAAAAGCCTTTCACTATGAAGCCTCTAGAGATTAACTCCACAGGAGTGTAAAATTGAATTTTTTTAATCACTCATTGCTAATAAGTAATTACCTACAGTCCATTTCTATTGAGAATACCTGGAAAATCAAGAGAGAAACTGTCATGGCCATTGATTACCCAGATATATAGAAGCGGGCTAATGGTACTTAAGTGATCTTCCCCCAGGGTTTTACCCCATGCTTAGACTCAGCAGAGGATTCTCTTTGTAGGATTGGCTTGATATTTGAATATACAAATAAATATTCTAATTGGTTTCCACTTTGGAATGTGGTAGGCTTAGAAAAAGCACTCTTTGGATGAATATATCAGGAGTATCTAGGAAACACAAGCACATACACATAGTACACATATATATGCCTGCTACACTCTTAACTTGGCCTTCACATACCTGAGGTGTGGGTAAGAGCTGGAGAGCTTGATATTCAAATTGACAAGGGTCTCCCTTCTCTCTTACCTTGTGCTCTGCTAGACCTCCATTCACCTACTGTGTATTACAGGTGTATTTTCCTCTGTTATCTACATGCTCTCTCCTTTTCTCCATGTGATTACACATTAGTGTATTTGTTGTTTCCCAGACAAATACTGCTCTAGTGAGCACCAGGACCATAGAATTCTGGAGTCAAAAGTACTTAAAAAAACTTTTTTTTTAAAGGAAATTGTCAAATGGATCTTAAGCAGATGAGGACAAAATGGTGAGCACCATCCTCTAGCATCCATCAAGATGACTACTTTATAAAGCTAAATAGAAAGGGCTGGAAGTCTGTAATCAGGTAAGAAAAAAGTCACTGGATGTGAAGACAGAGAACACCACAATTACTGATGTTTAAAGGGCAACTCTTTTCTCAGAAATGAGGTGGTTTGAGTGGGGAACCTAGTTATTTAGGCCAATGACTCTTAAGCTTTAAAAATCCACATACATGAACAGGCCATACCTTCCAATCAATTTTGAGTACATGCTCAGATTTGAACATATATTTCATACGTACTCTTCAACATCCACACCTTCTTCTCCACCCCTGAGGATCATGATACATATATATGTTTTTTCACTTTTAAAGTATAAAATCACAGTGAAATATGCTTATCCAAACCCTACATATTCCTTCTGGCTCCCTTCATTCCCTATTCTGATGCATCCTTTTATTTTATTTTTTTAAGTTGCATTTATTGGGGATAACATTGGTTAATAACACTATATAAGTTTTAGGTATACAATTCTGTATTACATCATCTGTATGTTGATGCATCCTTTAAAAATGTACATACTTCCCAAAGTGCTCCACCACTCTTCCCTTGATGAAATCATTATTTCATCAAGTTCTGCTAGCCTTTTTTTAAAATGGAATTTATTGGAGTGACATTGGTTAATAACATATAGGTTTCGGGTACACAATTCTACAATATGTCATCTGGGTCCACTGGCCTTTTAATGCAACAAAGCTCATTACAGTTTGTTCATAAGTCTTGTGTTAGATATTGCCTCAATAGTCATCTGAAATCAACAAATACATTTTTTCTTTCTGGACTTCAACACTTACTGGGCATTGTCTGAGGTTATCTGTACACAAACGAGGGAGAGCATGGTTCTTGCCCTCTGGGAATTTATAACCCAGTCTTCTTGTCAAACAACATTTGAAATGTTCCATGCCACAGGTGACTGGAACCAGTAAATTTGGGGCAAAAAAATAATCTAGCATCCTCCAAAACACCCATTTCCTCGTTTGCAGTGGTGGTCGTGGTTGTGATAGGGTTAAATATTAAGTAACCCACTATTCAGAAAAATACAAGCTACTTTGCATTGCTGGAATTCTATGCTATCATTCAGCTACATTGGTCAAAAGAGGAGTCGGAAAGAGTCCAAGGGAAGAATTCGGTAACTTAATTTTGCTCACTCTACTGTCTTTCTTCCTTCTCTCTCCTCAGCCTCAGATCAGCCTGTACTCATGGTGGGTGGGAAGAGTGAAGTAAAGGTAAATAACACAAGTCGTGGGATATAAGGACGATGAGTGTTCTTTAATACGCAGAGAAATTTTTACAGAATTTATATATTTTTATAAACAATTTCTGAAATAAACAAGCTTTTTTAATAACTACCTACCTTAAGGACATAGCACTAGACCCACAAAGATGGTTGTTAGCTTCCAGCTGTTAGTTGTGCTCCATTACATTATTATTTTGGTTATAAAAATTATACATGCCCATTATAAAGAAATACACCTGAACATAGCTAACAAAGAAAGATGTATATGTAATTCTGCCATTGGGAGATAACCAATTTAGCTCTATTGTGAAAATTTTTCACTATTGAATGTATGCATATGTAAATATGTGTGTCTAAACAAATTATCCTGCTTTTTTAAACTTAACTTTATACAGAGAACATTTTCCCATGCCATTAAAAATTTTCACTGTTTATAATGGTTGTGTAATATTTCATTAATTCTTTCACTTCTTGAGGTAGACCAGGGGATGAGGCCCGGAGGTGGTAGGTCATGGAAAGAATGACCATGGGATCCTGTACCATAAAATCTACTGAGGAATGACAAGCCGATGCTTATTATTTCTTTTAACTTCAGTAAAATATCAGCAAACACAAAACAATGAAAATTGAGGGAACTTGGGCTTATACCTGCTTTCAGTGGCATTGAATATCAAGGAGTACCAAACATACCAAATGGAGAGCCTCTTCCAAAAAGCCACTGTGAAGTTGGTCAAAACAGCCCATTAATTAAAATCCAAGGGAGTGGACACACTTGGATTTCAGTACATAGCCAGCAGCAAACATACTAATGTAGGGTAATATTCTACCTCTTTTCAATTGTGCATTCAAGTCATATTTTAAAAATTTATCTTCATTGTCGAGAGTATTTCAGGTATCCCCCTTCTTCCCCGCCCCCATTGACTCCATTCACAGGCTCCCACTCTCCCACCCCCAGGCCTTCACTACAGAACTTTAGTTTGTTTAAGGATGATGCACATATGTATATAAGTTCTTTGATTATTCTCTGCCTGTCCCCTTGATTTAGCTTTTCCAAGTATGCATTTTTGTCCACAACATGTGCAGAAGTCAAGCAAACAAATGGGCATGCTGCCATTTGAAGATGGAGATGGTAAGGCTGCTTTGCCTTTTTAGTCTAGACTCACTCAGATTCACATCTCCATGGATATTCTCTCAAAGTTGCTTGAACAACTTTGAACAACTCTTGAAATAACAGGGAGAGTCTTTGGGGATCAGAACATTCCAACATTAAAAAGTGAGCCTTTAATGTTATTTAAACACAAAGCAGAACCAACAAGTGCTTGATTCTAATCAAAAGCAGAAAAATCAGCATGTCAGAGTCTAATAAAACATAGTGATATAATTAATTTGTGATATATATCTAATTCTATTAGTATGAGTTTTCATTGTAGTTTCCTAGGGCTGACATAACAGATTACCACAAACTGTGTGGCTTGAAACTACAGAAATGTATTTTGTCATATTTATGGAGGCCAAGATATTAGCCCAGCCATGGCCCCTCAGCAGACTTTAAGAAGCTGTCTCTTCCAGGTTTTGGTGGCTCTATGAGTTCTTTGGCTTGGGCTGTGTGACTCCAATCTCTACCTTTGACTTTATATGGTTTTCTTCCATATGTATCTTGTCACACATTTCCCTTTGCCTTTCTCTAAGATCACCTATCATTGGATTTAAAGCCAACTCTAAGTCCATTCAAAATCCTTAACTTACTTGGATCTGCAAAGGCCCTTTTTTCAAATAAAGTCTCAGTCAGAGGTTCTGGGAGTTAGGATATGCACATACCAGTACTTTTTTTGGTAACCACTTTTCAACCCACTATCACTGTATTCTACAATATCATAGCTAAATATAATAATAATAATAATAATAATAATAATAATAATAAAACACTTCTGTTTGCATTCCCTGTAATAGAATTTGACTTATATTGCTTTGGCTTAAGCTTTTGTATAACCAAAGGATGCACTACTTGTAAGACTATTTGGAGCAGAGAAAGTTTTGTAAAAACTACCTCCTTTTAGGATTTCTTTCTACACAGGGAAAATTTAAGAAAATACAGGACTAATTTTTTTAAAGCTTTCACATGGATTCCAGATGTTGAACATTTAATCCAAGAAGGTGTTTCCTTATTATACAAATGTGGTGCACATCAAGAAATTGGCATTGTTTAATTTATGACTCACACGTGAACCATTGTTTTTTGTGATATAGTTATTTTAACTGATTCATAAACTAAACAATGTCAATATTTTGGACACATACCATATTTGTATAATGAGGAAACACCTTCTTACATCAAATGGTCCACATCTGGGATCCATGTGGGAATTTCTTTGAAATTTTAAATAAAGACAAATTAGCATGGTATACATTTTCTCAGAGATGCAGTTAGTTGGTAATCAAAAGGCCCACTGAACTTGGTACTACATTGTGGTTAAGCAAATAGGGATGTTGTTGGTAGAAACATTTAATAATGCTTTTACAGCACTATTTTGGAGATGGGGTGTAATGAAACACAATATAAACAATTTTGTATCGGGGATAAAAAAAAATCAACTCAATTAATTGGAGTGTAAGTTATCAAAGACTTTCTGGAGGGAAATTGATGGCACAAATAAGGTGGTCAATGAGCATACTCCTTAACCAGACAATTCTGCTTACTGAATTACCTTAAGGAAATAGAAATGTGCCAATAGTTTTATATAATAGGATGGTCATCATAACCTACTAGGCTTTACTTTCTTAAAGCAGTTTTAGGTTCACAGCAAAATTTATATGCTCTCTGCTCCAAATACACATAACCTTCCCCTCTAGCAACATCTAGCACCAAAGTGATATGTTTGTTAGAGCTGTAGAACTTACATTGGTAAATCATTGCCACCTAAAGTTCATAGTTTACATTAGGGTTCACTTTTGCTGTTGTACATTCTATGGACTTTGAAAAATGTATAATGACCTGTATCCACCATTATAGTATCAGACAGAGTAATTTCAATGCCCTAAAAGTTCTCTCATATTTTGTTTTTGGTAACAAGAGGAGATTGATTAAATCAATTTTTAGCAAATTTATATAATGAAGTCCTATGCAGCTGTTGAAAATGACTTCATAGATGAGTGGTGAACTATAAAAATGGCCATAATTCATTGTTAGAAGTAAAATTAGATGGTAAAATCAATATGTTAATAGCCTAAAATTGTGTTTTTGTGTGTGTACTCGCGTGTGTGTACGTGTGTGTGTGTGTGTGTGTGTGTGTGTGTGTGTGTGTGTGTGTATACAGGTTTAGACACAGGACTATACACCCCTATATTAACTATAGCTGTCTCTGAGTTAGGGTGAAAGATGATGTTTGCTTTCTTTTCCTTGTTCTTTATTTTCCAAATAATCTGTAAATCATATTACTTTTAAAATTAAAAACCAGACATTTCGACGTGACTGTCTCACAGCTAACTTAGATTCAAATGAGCTCTTCTATCTTCTTTTTTTCTTTTTCCCCAGGCTTATAAATATCACCTCAGAATACAATAACTGTGCTTGGTGGCCTTTTATGTAGCCTCTTAACAACTTGGTTCCTCATACGTGATATGATTTTTGTTAGATTACTCCTAAGATCCCTTTCAGAATAAATTCTTAATTATAACAGTGAACTCTCCTAGAGCTTAGATAGG